TTCTCGATTTGCTGAAAATTGTTGATTATAGAAGGTATTTACTCTTTTTGTATATAGTTTCTCAATTCTGGTTTTATGACAGTTTCTATAAAACACCTCTCTCTCCCTGGTCTTTCCTAGATCTAAGTCAAAAAATGGAAAGAAGATTCTTGGACAAAAAAAGAGACAGATTGATTCATCTGAGGAGGACGACGATGAAGATTATGATAATGATAAAAGAAGTTCTCGTCGCCAAGCAACTGTCAATGTGAGCTATAAGGAAGATGAAGAAATGAAAACAGATTCTGATGACCTCCTTGAAGTCTGTGGAGAGGATGTTCCTCAACCCGAGGAAGTTCCCTTCTCAGCCCTGGACGTGGCATGGAGTCATCCCGTCTGGGGGCGACCTGTCTGCCTGGCTTTTATGGACATGTCGGGGGGCACACACGCATGCCTGTGGTGCAGCCTGCCTCCTCCCGCCAGCCCGCCCGCCCTTCAGCACCACGGACAGAGCCCGACTCACGGCAGACTTCCGGGGTGCGCCAGGCCACGCACACGCCCGCGTCCCGGCAGGCCTGGGCGTAGGCGGCCACGGCGGTGCAGAAACACTCGCAGTCGCCCCCGGAGTCGCAGGCGCACGCGTCGCTCACGCAGGCCTCATAGTACTTGGTGGAGTCGACCTGATGGGGGGCGCGGAGGGGCCACTCAGTGAGGGGAGCGGATGAGAGGATGTCCCACCCGTGGGGACAGCAGCTCACCTGCCATCTGAGACCGTGCCTGCTGCCTCCGGAGGCTCCGGCCCACTGGCAGCCTCCACCCGTGCCCCTGGCCCCTGCTCTGGCCTCACCCACCCGCATCTCTTGCCTCTGACGGGCCTCTCACTCAGGTGCAGACCAGCCCTCCTGACCACGTGGGGACCCTGTCCTGCTGCCTCCCAAACACACGCCCCTCCCGGGCAGGAGAGCCCGGTGGACCCCAGTCTGGTGGACAGCACCACCCGCCGGGGGTGCAGGCCAGGCCCCGAGGGCTTCTGAGCCAGGGCGGGCGGTCGGCACAGGCAGCCTGCCCAGCGCAGACCATTCCGGCCAGGCGCCCTCATCACGGGGCAGGTCCCGGGTCAGGAGACTGTGAGGGGGGCGGGCACTGGGTCCTTATCACCAGGAAGGACCTGGGGCAGCTCTGGGGCAGTCCTCTGTGCCGTGCGGCCCAGCGCGGGGCTGACAGGTCAGAGACTGTGGGAGGACGAGGCAGGCCAGGGCCTGTATGGCTGGCAGCTCCACTTCCAGGGCAGGAGGCTTGGTGGTCAAGGGGCGCAGTGAGGACGCCCTGTGCTGGGACTGGGCACTCCTCGGTGCCAGCGCCCACCCAGCGGGAGGTCCAGGCGGTGCTCCGCGTTCAGGGCAAAGAAGACCGTCCTCCAAGGCCCAGCCCAGCCAGATTCCACTCCCACCAGGAGCGAAGGGGGTGCCCCACCCCCGCCAGCCCTCAGGCCCTCAGCCCACCTGAGCACGGCAGGCCTGGAAGGGGGCGCTGTTGATGAGGCTGCATTGCCGCTGCGCCCAGGACTTGCGGTAGGGGTTGGCGGTGCAGGGGTCCCGGGGGGCCGGGGCGTCGGGACAGGTGGGGGAGAGTTTCCAGCTGTTGCCAAACTCCAGAGCTTCTCCCACC